GTTGAGATTATGTCACTGCACCCTAGCCCGAGTGACAGAGTGAGACCCTGTCTCAAAAAAAAAAAAAAAGAGAAAAAGAAAAACAAGGCTGGGTGCAGTGACTCATGCCTGTAATACCAGCACTTTGGGAAGCTGAGGTGGGCAGATCACCTGGGGTCAGGAGTTCGAGACCAGCCTGCCCAGCATAGCGAAACGCTGTCTCTACTACAAATACAAAAAAAATTAGTTGACTTTGATGGAAGGTAGCTGTAATCGCAGCTACTTGGGAGGCTGAGGCAGGAGAATCATCTGAACCAGAAGGTGGAGGCTATAGTGAGCTGAGATCACACGACTGCACTGCATCCTGGGCGAGACTCTATCTCAACAACAAACAAACAAAAACAACAAAAAATCAAAACAAAAAAAAATCAAAACAAAAAAGTGAGCACTTGTTGGGAACAGCAGGGAAAACCCTTTGTGTATATATATGTTTAGCTGCTTGGCGTCTGCTTTTAGAAAGAAGCGTCCGTGCCGTCGGCAGGCGAACCACAGGCTTCAGTGCTGTTGGGAGATACTGCATAGCCAGGCTTTCAGAGCCGCCTCTCTCCCTGCCCACGCTGGCCCACGTGCTGATCTAGTGTGACGTTTACAAATAGCTAAGGGAGCGCCTAGGAACATTTTGCTTATTATTGCCATGGTTTCTGATAAGATAAGCTTTGTTGAAAACATTCAAGTATGATAGTAACAACAGGATGCAGAAAGGTGGTATTTCTCCCTTGAAAGGTGCTTTACTGTGAAGCCATAACACAGTGATATTCGAGAATCCTGGGAGGAGTCTCTGGGATCCTAGTTGACTGTGGTGGGAGAACTCGTTCTGCTTTCCTTTCTTTCAGATCAGTGGATCATGTTTCTATATCCATAGCAGGAACAATGCCGTTTGTCAGTAAGTTTTTCATACTGCAGTCACCCTGGAGCCAGTGACTGAGTGGATTCTGCCTCTGGTGTTTCTGTAACTTACTGTCCGTCTGCTGGAGCGGTGCTGGCTGGCTTTGGCCACTCTGGTTTATGTCTCTTGGCTCAGTTTTCTGCCGCTACTGGATTTTGCAGGGAAGGGCAGACTGTCTTATTTTTCACAGTTTCACCTTTTTTTTTTTTTTTTCTGAAGCCTCTGAATTGAGTATTTTGGGCTTGGAGAATTAGAACTATCTCCAAATCATCAGTTACATGAAGCTCGTCTGTTCTACAAATTATAAAGAAAATACAATTAAAATGGAGTTTTAAAAATGTATACTTTGATTCACTCTTATTCATTCTAACATGGTAACACGTAAAGGGGCCTATTGTAGTTAATGATTTGTTTAAAAAATGTTTGGTGAATGTTTCAGAATGAACAACTTGGTACTTTGTGTTCAATTAGTAACCTCAGTGTTGAAATCCTTAGGAATCTTCAGGACAGCTTGGCCAGTCTGGACTCTGGATTAGGTAACTCTCAGGTACCCAGCAAGACTCTCACATTCTTAGGAAGGAGGACTTTTGTGAGATAAGTGGGTAGACGTTTTATAAACTCCGGTTGTCTCCGGGAAGCTGGCTGATGATGGACTTCCGAGCCCAGCATCGCACTGGCACATGGGGCCCTAGGATTGAGGCGATGGCCCCGGCCTCTTCCATTGTGGAGGGGAAGCGGAAACTCAGTCTCTGGCTCAGGAATCCCGCACTGTGGGGTCCGTTAGCTGGGGCTGGCCCTGTTTGAGCCTGACTTTATGGGGTATGTTGGCCGACAGTGGCAAGAGGGCCAGCCGCGGGGGTCCTGGCCTGCATGCTTCGGGCTTTCTGGATGGCCTCCTGGGCGCATCCCATGCGATGGCCTTGCTGACCACACACTGCACCCCCATCCTTGTCCTGAAACAGCAGCTGTGTCCTGGCGTCTCCAGCGGGGTTGCCCTTGAGGGTTCCGTGCTTGCTGCTTGGTGGCAGCCGGGGCATCTGGACTTCACCGCAGGGCCTAGGGTTTGTCAGTTAATGGATGTGGCTGCAGCCAGGGCTCTTGCCAGCCTGTTGCCTCTCCCTGTCCCTGAGCATTTTCACAGCCCAGCCCCCCACCCAAGAGGGGCTTCCTTCAGGAGTCTGCTCCCTCTGTGGCTGAATGCTGCGTCCTTTTTCCTTTCTCCCTGGCCCACACTTCTTTCTTCTTTGCTCTCTTTTTCCTCTTTTGCTGTTCTTGAAGTTTTCATTATGGAAGAGTTCAAACCCATATGAAAGTGGAGAGTAGTGAAACGGTGCACTGGTACCCAGCCCCAGTTGCAGCAACGTGCAGGCATGCCTCTGGTGACATCTGTGCCTCAGCCCAGATTTTTGAGGTATTTCTAAGTATTTCAGTACATGTGTCTAAAAAGCAGTGCTCTTTGAAAAATTACGAAAATATAATCACACCTGCAAAAACGAACAGTTCCTTAATATCATCAAATATTTATCAATGTTCAAACCTCTTTTTTTTAAGACAGAGTTTCACTGTTTTTGCCCAGGCTGGAGTGCAGTGGTATGATCTCTCTCAGCTCACTACAACATCCGCCTCCCAGCTTTAAGCAATTCTCCTGCCTCAGCCTCCAGAGTACCTGGGTTACAGGTCCGCCACACGCCAGCTTAATTTATATGTTTAGTAGGGACGGGGTTCTCCATGTTGGTCAGGCTGGTCTCGAACTCCTGACTCAGGTGATCCGCCTGCTTCAGCCTCCCATAGAGCTGGATTATAAGCATGACGACTCCACGACCAGGCCAACCTTTTTATTTTTTTTTTTGAGAAGACTTCCACT